GGCTCCAGCTAGCGAGCTCAAGCCAGCAGCAGCTAGCTGCAGTGGACTCGAACTAGCTGCAGCTAGCTGCAGCTAGCTGCAGCTACTAGCTGCAGCTAGCTAGCTGCAGCTAGTAGCTGCAGACAGCCAGCAGCAGCTAGCGGCGCCCAGCTGTAGACAGCTGAGGCGCTAGCAGCAAGTCGGCAGGGCCTGCTGTGGCTAGCTGCAGCTAGCCAGCTGCTGCAGCGGCTAGCCAGCTGCAGCAGCTAGCCAGCTGCTGCAGCTAGCTAGCCACTCGGCTAGCTAGCTGCGAATTTGAAGCGCCATCTGCCGCAAACGGAAACCAGCTAGCCGAGAATACAAAGAATTTCTTTTGACAGATTCTCTTCAAAAAAAAAACTCCAGACTCTTGTAGATACACCTTAAAAAGCTGCGTATACACCCCAATTAGCTGCCTATACACCTCAAATAGCCGCCAATACACCTCAATTAGCTGCCTATACACCTCAAGTAGCTGCCTATACACCTCAAGTAGCTGCCTATACACCTCAAGTAGCTGCCTATACACCTCAAATAGCTGCCTATACACCTCAAATAGTTGCCTGTACACCTCAAGTAGCTGCCTATACACCTCAAGTAGCTGCCTATACACCTCAAAAAGCTGTCTATACACCTCAAACAGCTGCCTATACACCTCAAGTAGCTGCCTATACACCTCAAATAGCTGCCTATACACCTCAAGTAGCTGCCTATACACCTCAAATAGCTGCCTATACACCTCAAATAGTTGCCTGTACACCTCAAGTAGCTGCCTATACACCTCGAGTAGCTGCCTATACACCTCAAAAAGCTGTCTATACACCTCAAACAGCTGCCTATACACCTCAAATTGCTGCCTATACACCCCAAATAGCTGCCTATACGCCACGGGGTGTAAAAAGGGTGCGGCTAGGAGATATTTGTTTGCAGATTTAAATGAAAAAAAAAGTAAAAAGGTGGAAACTAAATAAATGTAAATTTGAAATTAAGAAAACGGATCCGCTGAGAGGCGGGGGGCAGCAAGGCCCCCAGAAAACCCTAAATTAGGGTTTGGGGTTTAGGGTTTACACGGTGCTGCCGCACCAGAGCAGCAAAAGAGGAAGTCTCTGCAGAGCCTCCAGCCTCTCGCTCTTTAGTCAGCTGGGCCTGCAGCTGGAGGAACCTGAGGAGCAGCAGCAGCAAAACGAGGGTTTAGGGTTTACAACTAGGGCTTAGCGTTTAGGGTTTAGGGTTTAGGGTTTGCAGCTAGTTTCCGGCGCTCTACAGCTTGCAAACCCCAGTCCCGAAACCCCAACCCCGAAACCCTCCACTCAAGCCGCACCCACAGCGCAACCCAAGCCATCACGGGCTTCGGGTTTAGGGTTTAGGGTTTAGGGTTTAGGGTTTAGGGCTTGCCTGTAGTAGTCCAGCCTGGGGTACTTGTCCATCATAACCCTCAAGATGGCCTCGGCCCTCAAGTCTCTCTTTGTCGCCACGCGGTGAGTCAATTCATCAGCTAAAAACTGAATAATAAATAAAAATAAAATAAAAATAAATAAATTAAGTTAATTAATTTAATTAACTAATTTACTTAATTAATTAAATTAATTAATTTATTCAGTTTAAGAAGAGCGCTGCCGTTCGTTCGAGCCGCTGCAGGTGTCTGTACACCTCAAACGCCACCTTTTAGGGTTTAGGGTTTCCGCAGCAGCGCGGCAGCAGCAGCAGCAGCAGCGCAGCAGCAGCAACAAGGCAGCAGCAGCAGCAAGGCATCAGCAGTACCGAGACAGCAGCAGCATTAGCAAGACAGCAACAGCAGTAACAAGACAGCAGCAGCAACGACAGTAGCAAGACAGCAGCAACAGCAGCAGCAACAGCAAGACAGCAGCAGCACCAAAGCAGCAGCAACAGCAGCAAGCCAGCGGAAGCAGCACGGCAGCAACCAGGCAGCGGCAGCAGCAACACAAATAGCAAAACAGCAGCAGCAGTAGCAAGACAGCAGCAGCAGCAGCAAGACAGCAGCAGCAGCAGCACCACCACCACCACCAAAACAGCAGCAGCAGCAGCACCAAAACAGCAGCAGCAACAGCAGCAGCAGCAGCAGCAGCAGGACCTGCAGGGGGTCCATGACAGGCATGCTGCTGCTGCTTTTGGGGCGGCGGTCGTAAGGAAAAAGGCCCATTCTTCTTGCTGCTGCTGCTGCTTTGTAAATAAACCGCTGCTGCAGTCGAGAAGCAAAAGTGAGCCGCCGCGGCAGCAGCAAACCCGTGCTGCTGATGAAGTGGCCCAGCAAGTGCACGTCTGAAAACCCCAAACCCTAAACCCTAAACCCTAAACCCTAAACCCTACACTCTAAACCCTAGGCCCTAAACCCTAAACCCTTCTCCCCCAGCCGCACCCTATACGCAATCTGCTACCCGCAGGGCCCACCCCAACCCCTAAACCCCAAACCCTAAACCCTAAGCCCTAAACCCTAAACCCTAAACTCTAGACATCAGCGCAAAGACGCAGCCTCCCACAAATCTGCTGCGCTATCGCCACTCTGGCCGCGCCAGTCCAGTCCTCCCCGCTCTGAGCTACCGCCTAGTCTCTAGGGTTTAGGGTTTAGGGTTTAGGGTTTAGGGTTTAGGGTTTAGGGTCACCTTTCCAGGTAATGGGCAAGTTCTTGTTCTTCAAAGCTCTGCGGAGGTTTTCTTTGGGGTCCCAAAAACGCTCTGGCCGGTCCAGCGGCAAAGGGGGTGCCTCCGACTCCTAAACCACAAACCCTAAACCCTAAACCCTAAACCCTAAGCCCTAAACCCTTGGCCCTAAACCCTGAGGGACAACAGAGACTCCCTTTGAGTTTCCTGGCTGCGAACCAAATCCTCCCGGGCGTCTGCAGGGTCTCGGAACTAGGGTTTAGGGTTTAGGGCTGCGCGCGTCCGCTTGCCGAGGGTTTGGCGTTTAGGGTTTAGGGTTTAGGGTTTACGATCTGGCCAAAGTACTGCGCGTGTTCGCTGCTCAAAGGGTCGTGCAGCTTTTGGGCCCTTCGAAGAGACTGCCGCAGCAGCAGCCGCTGCCTGCGGGCCTCTGCTGCCCCCACTAGCCTGCAGCAGCAGCAGCAGCAGCAGCAGCAGCAGCAGCAGCAGCAGCAGCAGCAACAGCAGCAGCAGCAGGAACAGCAGCGGCAGTGGCAGCGGCAGCGGGTATTCTGGGGGAGCTGTTAAACTCTCAGTGCCTCCGCTGCAATTTTAGGTTTTGCTGCTGCGGTGGGCCCCTGAGGGTTTAGGGTTTGCGAGAGCGGGGCTAGGGTTTAGGGTTTAGGGTTTAGGGTTTACTGTGTGAACTCTTCAAAGTCTGCTGCCACTTGCGACTCCAAACCCTCGACCTTCGCCGTTGGGTCCCAGAAGGCGTCAATGCCGGTACCGGCAGCCTGCAGCAAACCCTAAACCCTAAACCCTAAACCCTAGGCCCTCGCCGCCACGGCCACGCCCGCAGAAACGCCACGCGCCAAGGTTTAGGGTTTAGGGTTTAGGGTTTAGGGTTTGGCCACGCCCACCCGAGTCCGGCTCATGCGGCCAGAAGGCGGCTGCTGCAGGGCTGGTGACTCCGTCGAGGGTTTAGGGTTTGCGGCTTGCGACGAGGGTTTAGGGTTTAGGGTTTGCGAAACCCTAGCAGCGCGGCCCATCCCTCCAGACGTAAAGCGAGAGAAGTGCCTCCTCTGCTGCTGCTGCTGCTGCTGCAGCTGATGCTGTTGCTGCTGCTGTAATTGCTGCTGCAATTGACGCGGCTGCTGCTGCAGCTGCTGCTGCTGCTGGGCCGTAGCAGCAGCAGCAGCAGCAAGGGTTTGAAGCTTGCTGCTGCTCCAGTGCTGCAGTCTGCTGCAGCAGCAGCCGATGGGAACCCGGGCTGCCATTGACAACCCCCGTGGTCAAAATCTAGGGTTTAGAGTTTAGGGTTTAGGGTTTAGGGTTTAGGGCTTAGACTTTAGTCTAGCCTCCAGAGTTTACAGTGTAGCGGCACGCGGGAGCTCGAAACGCCGTACGAGGGTTTAGGGTTTAGGATTTAGGGTTTAGAGTTCGGAGTTTAGGGTTGAAAACACCCATATCTAGACCCTAAACCTCAAAACCTAATGAGAAATTATAATTCGGCTAAAACCCTTGAGGGTTTACAAACCTTAGCAGCCACGCCCTTGGGGCTGGTGTGCATGCACAAACTAGGGTTTAGGGTTTAGGGTTTAGGGTTTAGCATTTGGGATATAGAGTTAATCCTAATATTTGTAACTAGTGTGTTGCAGCATTACAAATACCAAGGGCTACCCTAAACCCTAAACCCTAAACGCTAAACCCTAAACCCTAAACCCTACACCCTATTCACTGAACTCTAAACCCTAAACTCCAAACCCTAAACCCACGCAGCAGCAACATTCCACTGCCTTTTAGGGTTCAGAGTTTAGGGTTTAGGGTTTACGCGGAGTGTGCTTACAGCACAACTCGGTGGCTGCCTTCTCCATCCATCTCCTAGGGTCTAGGGTTTAGGGTTTAGGGTTTAGGGTTTAGGGCTTGACACAAAACACCCGACTCTGCCGCTCAGCTTGAGCATGCTGGATTAATTAGGGTTTGGAGGAGCATATAAGAGCCCTTACGATTTAGGGTTTAGGGTTTAGGGTTTAGGGTTTAGAGTTTGGGAGTTGGGTGTTGTCTGCGGCATACATACACGTCAAACCCTCAGAAAGACAGTGGCTGTTTTGCATGCGATGGATTTTCTGACCTCTTCCAGGGTTTAGGGTTTAGGGTTTAGGGTTTAGGGTTTGGAAGTTGGGCGTAGGCAGCAGCCCTTAGCAGACACGCCGGACTCTCCCACGCTAGCTAGCTAGCTAGCTAGCTAGCTAGCTAGCTAGCTAGCTGACGGGATAGCTAGCTAGTTGGCTAGTTTATATCCATCCAGCTAGCTAGCCAGCTATCCAGCTGCCTAGCTTGCTAGCTAGCTAGCTATCTAGCTAGCTATCTGGCTAGCTATCTAGCTATCTGGCTCCCCATCTGCCTAGCTAGCTAGCTAGCTAGCCACCCATCTATCCAACTAGCTAGCTGAGAGGCTAGCTAGCTAGCTAGCTAGCTAGCTAGTCATCTATCCAGCTAGCCAGCTAAGAGGCTAGCTAGCTATCTAGCTAGCTGGCTAGCTAGCTAGCTAGCTAGCCGTGTGAGCCCGTGTGGCCGCAGTGGCTCTCTGGACAGCAAAAGAGGCAAAACTATAATTGGAAAAAAGCAGCAAATGGACTTGTTCGAATTTTTTTTTTAATTTTCGAATTTGGAAAGTTTGAAAATTAAAAAACTCCAATTTAAAGGCCCTTCTTTGTTTGAGGTGTACGTACACGTGGGCGGTTTTCTCAACAAATGGGATGAGTGAAGATCATTTAGTTTTATTTCATTTTGCAAAAGTTCTTATTGTTTATTTGATCATTTAGTTTTTATTTCTTTTTGGATTTTTATTTAAAAGTTATAATTGTTCATCTTCGACTTTTCGAAATAATGGATTTTTGCTGCGGCCAAATGCGGTGTATGTACACCTCTTGCATGCGTTTCTCACATCAGCAGCGCCGGACAAATCGGAAAATAAATAAATCAAAAATAATTCAACTAATTGATTAAATTAATTGATTAATTAATTTTATTAATTCATATGCGAGGATTTGGCTTTTTCTAGGTCATCCGGCAATTTAAATGTACAAATAAATATAAATATTAATATAAATATAAATATCAAAATAAATAAAAGTAAATATAAATATAATTTTGAATTTAAATTAAAATAAATTTGCAAAGTAGACTTAATGTGTCGAAGTGCTGCATGCGCTCGCAGTGTACGTACACCAAGCGTTGACTTTTTGCGCGCTATTTGCAAAAGAAAAAACTGCGATATTTTTGTGCGTTTTGAAGAGAATAAGACACCAAAATGAATATAATTGAAAGTAAAAATATAATTTAAACCTTTTTGACTCAAAGATTGTTTGGAAAGCCCGCAAAATGGACCAAGGCTCGAGTGTACATACACCGCCTTTGCCGCATTTGCAAATAATTACACTTGCGAGCCTCGTGCCTGAAGTGCGTCATTTATTATTTTTAAAAGGCAATTGTGCCTTTAAATGTAATTTATTTCAAATGCATTTGAAGCTTTTCTTTGCATAAGTTCATCAGCTTTATTCAGATCTGCTAGCGGTTGCTTCGGCTGCAGCAAAAGCAGCCAGCAGCAGAAATAAGAAATTTGAATCCTTTAATTGTTGGTTCGATGCCTAGCTAACAAGCTAGCTAGCTAGCTAGCTGGCTAGGTAGCTAGCTAGTCAAAGGAAATAATCGGGGGTCCCCCGCAGCTGTTCAGCGCCTTCCAGTTGCTCGGGAGAAGGGTCAAACTGGATGCTGCGCACAAACCCCAAACCCTAAACCCTAAACCCTAAACCCTAAACCCTCGACCACGGTGACTGAGTGCGGCCTCTCCAGCTCGTTTCCCGCGCCAAGCCCGAGCTCCCTGTCCAGCGCGGCCTGGCGGGGCTCAGGAATTAGGGTTTAGGGTTTAGGGTTTAGGGTTTACGGACAAGGAGTAGTTCATGCCTTCGTCGATCTGCAGAATGGCCGCTTTGTTGCCGCAGCGGTAGCAGTAGTTGGGCGCGGAGAAAAGAGTCAACACGTTGTGGCCTTGGCTCCACTGGTAGCCCTGCAGCAGCAGCAGAGCAGCAGCAGCAGCAGAAGCAGCGAGGCAGCAGCAGCAGCAAGGCAGCAGCAGAAGCAGCAAGGCAGAAGCAGCAGCAGGAATGCAGCAGCAGCAGCAGGAATGCAGCAGCAGCAGAGCAGCAGCAGCAGAACAGTCGAAAGAAATGTCGATCAGCAAATCTTTACTAATGCTTTTTGTCTATTTATTATTTATTTATTATTAATTATTAAAATATTTGATAGTTATTTTTAAATTAAGATCCAAAAGGCAGCAATTAATAAAAATAAATTAAAACTAATGGCAATAATTTTAATTAAATTTTATTTATTCAAATAATGCCCAATTAAGTAATACAAAAAGTGCAACAAAATGTAGACAATAGAAAACAAAATAAAAAAATAATAGATAATAAATAAATAATAAATAAATGAAAATAAACAAATAACGAAACAAACAAAATATAAAGACATAAAACCTCCAAAAAATAAAATTGGTCAAGGAAGAACAAGCAAATTAATTGCAAACAAAGACACCAGCGGTGGCTAGGGTTTAGGGTTTAGGGTTTAGGGTTTGGCACCTCCATCACGAGCTGGTGAGCCCTCGCTATACACTTGAGGCCATTTGCATGCAAAAACCTCTCCGATATGTCCCGCCCAAACGTAAACCCTGAGCAGCAGCAGCAGCAGCAGCAGCAGCAGCAGCAGCAGCAGCAAACTTTATTCCGGCGGCCTGCTGCTCAGCTGCCACGAAAAGCCGCACCAGCAGCAGCAGCAGCCGCAGCCAACACTAACCGCGCAGCCTCAGCAGCAGCAGCAGCAACAGCAGCAGCAGCAGCAGCAGCAGCAGCAGCAGCAAACTCACCGGCTCCTCGTGGCGATACTCCCCAGCCCTCGAGTTGGTCTTCCGGGTCCGACCACAGCAAGTCGCACATGGGGCCCTCGTGGGGCACTTCTTGCAGCCTGTGCAAACCCTAAACCCTAAACCCTAAACCCTAAACCCTAGGCCCTAAACCCTTAACCCCGAACCCTAGGCCCTGAGCTCTGACAGTTGGGGGGAGGCACGAGGGTTTGGGCTTCAGGGTTTAGGGTTTCAGCGGGCGACGCGGGGCAGCTACAGCCAAGCAAAGCGCTAAACCCTAAACCCTAAACCCTAAACCCTAAACCCTGAACCCTAGCCTGGCTGCTCGCGACCGAACCCTTCACGCCCCAACCATACGCCCACCCCCAAAACCCCAAGCCGCAAACCCCAGCCTTCAACCCCAAACCCCAAACCCTAAACCCTAAACCCTAAACCCCTATCCCTAAACCCTAAACCCTAAACCCTAAACCCTACCGCTGCAGAGCCCGCACAGAGTCAAGAGAGTCCAGCTGAGGAGACAGCCCAGCGTGGGGACAAAAAATTTGTCCTTCTATTAAAGCGCTTAGAGGCAAGTAGTCGAAAACCCCTGCGAAACAAAACCCTAAACCCTAAACCCTAAACCCTAAACCCTGGCGACTGCAGCGGAGCTTTTGGAAGTGCGAAGTCAGACACTCTCAAGGGCAGGAAGACAAGAAGAAATAAGAAAGAAAATTAAAAAAATAAAAGAAATAAAAGAAATAAAAAGGAAATAAAAAACAAAAAAGAAATAAAAAAGAAACAAACAGGAAAATAAAAAAACAAAAAAAGATTAGAATGAATCCAAAAGCAATAATAAAAACGCCAAAAAGAAGACAAAAGAAAGACGATAAAAAGGAAATAAAAAAGAAATAAAAGAGAAATAAAAAAGAATTCAAAAAGAATTAAGAAAGAATTTAAAAAGAATTTAAAAAGAATTAAAAAATAAATAAAATAAAATAAATAAAATAAATAAACAAACCCGTGATGTGGTTCCAAACGTTGGCGTTGCCGTATTTGCGAATGCACTCATCGAAGAAGCCGTAGACCTGAAAATAAAAAATAAATAATTTAATTAATTTAATTTAATTGATTAATTAAATTAAATTAAATTAAATCAATTAATTTAATTTAATTAACTAAATTGAATTAATTAATTGTAAATAGTCTTTTTTTTGTTTGTGCAGATGCCAGAGAAAAAAATCGGGAAAAAAAGCGAAAAAATCGGCCCGAAACTCTAAACCCTAAACCCTAAAAAGCCCAAACCCTAAAGCCTAAACCCTAAACCCTAGAAAACAAACCTGAGTTATTTGGCGGCTCTCGTGGTTGCCTCTTATGATGGTTATGCGGTGGCGATAACGGACCTGCACGCACATCTAAACTCTAAACCCTAAACCCTAAACCCTAAACCCTAATGCCGCAGCAGGGCGGCGTCGTTCAGACGGGAGCTGCTACAGCCTGAACCGCAAACGCTCAACCCTAAACCCTAAACCCTAAGCCCTAAACCCTAAACCCTAAACCCTAAACCGTGCAAGACTCACAGTGTGAACGCACGCCCTCTATGCCCAACCCCTAAACCCTAAACCCTAAACCCTAAACCCTGATTTACCTTGAGCAAAAACACGAGGGTTACACATTCTAAAGAGTTAAATCCTCTGTCAACGTAATCGCCGAGAAAAAGAAAGTTGACCGACGGGCAGGCTGCGCAACAAACCCCAAACCCTAA